TGCGGGAGGAGGCCTGAGACTGGGTGGGCTGGCTGGGTTTCCCTGCTGAATTTCCCCTCTCCCCTTGGGTGGCTAGTCCCTGCCACGGGGGTGCTGGGTGCTGTGGGGGCAGTGGGAATGCTATAGGAGGATGTGCATGGGTTTCAGGGCACATCAGGGCTCCTTGGGGAGGGTGCGTGGCGCTCACGCTGCTCCTGCTCACCTCTGCAGGCCAGGACGGCCACCAGGACCCCTTGACATGCGTGGCCAGCAACCAGGATGGCAGTTTGATCATGACGGGCTCTGTGGACTGTCATGCCAAGCTGATCAACTCTGCCACGGGCAAGGTGAGTCCTTGCCCACCTTGGCCCGCCCTGCTAGTGGGACCAGACCAGGAGGCCCTGGGGGACAGAGGAAGGGGGAACCCAGGGGCCTCTGGGGCAGGTGGGTGGCTCCATGCAGGACAGGTGGCTCTGGCTTTGCCAGCCAAGAGCAAGTCTGCAGTGGCCAAGGGTGGCCAGCAGGAGGCGCTCTTGGCCAACACAAAACCACTTTCTCCCTCCTGGGAGCTACTGGTGGGCCTGGGACTGGGCTCGGCTGCTCAGTTGTGGGTGGTCTCGTTGGGCTCCCTGACAGGCCCCTAGGTGAAAAGCCACCCCTGTCTTGCCCCAAGAAGCAGAGGCTTTGGGGTTTGGCCTCAATAGCCAGGCTTGATCCTGGGTAAGGACAGGGTCTTCCTTTGAGACTGAGGGGGACCCTTCCCCTGCCCTTGGGGACCAATCCACCTCCCCCCAGGTGGTGTGCGTGTTCAAGATGGAGAGCATCGCCCCCAAGCCCCCTGCCGGTGAGGGTGAGGAGGCTGAGTCCAACTCTGTGGAGTCTCTGGGCTTCTGTAACGTGTGAGTGCAGGGGAAAGGGGCATGTGGCGTGAGGGCGGGGGGTGATGGCTCCTCATTCGGAGGCGATCATGTCTCCCCCTGCCACACACGCTGGGGGCCTAACCTGACCTCCTCGGGAGGGCTGTGCTGCTGAGGCAGGCAGCCTCCCTGTCCCTTACTGGGTACCCCCAAAGAGCTGGGGAGACATTGTCCTGCACCAGCTTTAGCTATACCCTGGGGCCTGGCTTGGTTCATCTGTGTGTGACATGGAGGACAATGTTGACTCCTCACCACATCCCTTGTGTCTCTCGGGGCTAGTGTTAACGACTTGCAGTTTGGACAGGATACCCTCTAGACATGGCTGTTGGGGATCTTTCCTAGCAGGATCTTGTCTCATCCTTTGTGAACTGTAGGCGAGTTGCTGCCTCTTGATGTTCTCCTGGTTTCCTTAGTGGTGTGTTTCATGGCTCCAGCCCTGTTCATCATCTATTCTAGGGCATCAGGTTGACCTTCATCTTCATGATATGTTGTAGCCCTCAGCACAGGCTGTGCCTGTTTTCATCCCTACGTCCTTCAAGCCCACCCTAACACCTGTTCCTCCCTCTGCAGGATGCCACTGGCTGCTGTGGGCTACTTGGATGGCACATTGGCTATCTATGACCTCTCCACGCAGAGTTTGAGACATAAATGCCAACATGAGGTACTATCCTAGTCACCTTTTTCCCATGCTGGGGGTGTTCTTAAGTCTAGAGGAGAACGCTGCAAGCCCCAGGCCCTCAGCTTGGCCCCAGCAGTGCCTCCCTTGGTGGCCAGGGGCTTTCCTAGCTGGTCTGGGACTAGTTTCCTGTTTCATGCTTCTCCCTCAGCCCATTAGGCTGCTCTTGCTGCTCCCTGGAGGCAGCCACAGCGCCC